TAATGTTCTAATCGAGCAACATGAATCTCCCTTGTTCAGGTTGTTTTCATCTCTCATAGGTCACCATCACGTACACTGAACTGAAAGCTAGTGCAGGCCATCGTCTCCTCATGTGGCTGTCGTATCTCAGCTCTGTAAAGCTGTTCCTGGGACGGAGGTGGAGATGCTGCTTTTTGTATAAAATGAGGTTGTTTAGCATCAGGATACCATGAGACTCAGACTTCAAACACTGCACTGGATTCTTTTTTTGCCATCTGTCTTTGGTAAATTGAATCCTCTACCTGCCTCTGACCCGTGCAGCTGCCATGTTGCTGCATTATGACACAAGAGGTTCAGAGAGAGTCTCTTCAGTGCTGCATGGCCAACTTGCTCGGAGTGGGACGTGCCGGAGTTCAGTTCATGTATCATGTATGGGATCACACAGTTGCCCTCAAAGCTGCGCGCACATTACGAATGCTGCTGTGCACAATCTCCTGAGGGTCAGATTGACCTCTGGATAAAATCATCTGAGCAGAGAGTAAAAAGAGATGTTGTGGATCGGCTCCGACTCCCTGCAAGCGAGGTGATGTTTGCTTACCAGCTCTCCTCAGTTCTGTACGGATTATGGTGTGGAACCAGTAATCGTATTGTTTTCAATAGTCTCAAGGTTTCCAGCTGGATTAAATTAAACAACTATTGATCTTCATTTTGTGTTTCTCCCAGTGTTCGTTTCTTCGCTACTCCTTTCCTCTGTTTTTAGAATAAAACACACACCACCACAAACTGCATTTATACTCAATATGAAAATACTTTTACTACTGTGACAATGAGTATTTCCACTTGGCTTATCTTAAGAATGCAAACAAAAACATGTAACACCATAGGAATTATAATAACATCATTATTTTTCCCTTTAAAAAACACATGAGAAGTCCTAAAGCAAGATTAAAATCAGACAGCTAAACAAGTACAGTAAAGTATACAATAATACACAATATTACACACTGACCTGGGCCTCCGCACATCTTAAAAGTGCCAAATACATAGCGGAAGAGAGTTGTGACATTCCTCTAATACACTTAACACAGAGAAAGTACTTGTACATCTGAAAGGTGTGACGGGTTGAAACATGTCATTTCAGAGATGTTACACATTCTAAAGGAGCGTACCGATACGTAAAAGCAGAAAACAACCTTCGTCCATCCTGAATGATCGTCCAGCTAAACTGTGATATCTAACAGGTTTGTAATAAAAGAAATATCGTGAGCTGAACAGCAACAAAAGAGAGTGAGCAGGTTTCAAAATACTTTGAGAGAGTGGATCCTAATTTTTCTGCAAAATATTCCAGATATAGTTTTATTTTGAAACACGACTACAAGCTGATGTGTACGTCGGCCCATGCTGCGTTAATATTTCCAGCTAAAAAACTACAGAAATTGAATTTTTGGAAGCTTAATTTTTGTCTTTCTTTCGAGAAACTCTCCCATCAACACTATAAATAAATGATTATTGTGCGTGTTGTTCGATGCTGGCATGTGTTTTCAAAAGAGAACTTTACTCTAAAAAGATAAGCTGGTACCATTTTTGTTTTAATTACTGCATTACACCACCACCGTGGTTGGATTAAACCTGGAGTACTGCTGTTTATGCAAATCCACTGCGAAGAATAGGTTAATTTCAAGTAGGTAGGTTAAATTCACCGCTCTGCTTCCAGCTGTTCTTTATAATTACTTTCTAGATAGGATCACTGTCCCGCTCACATGCTCTCAGGCCGACCTAAAGAATTCATGTCAGTCAGATATGCTGCTGATGTATGTGTCTAAGTGACCTGTGTCGGTGTTTCTGGAAAAAAAAATCAAGCTGCTGCTGTGACGCAAATAAACGCATTATATCATCTGATATGTGCACCCTCTGATATGGGTGTTATCTCGATGGGTTTGTGTTCTCTTCCTCCATGTTTGGCACTTAATCCACGTCGTTTTCTTCTATTCCTTCCTCATATTTCCTCCTCGGGGTCAGAGCTGTGGTTGCTCATCTGTGACAGACAGACAGACAGGCAGCGAGAGGAAAAACAAAGAGGCACTTCATTAACCGCGAGCTCAGGATGACTCAGGAAAATTTCATTGTGTAGGTATAACTGGATTACACAGTGGGAGAGTCCTGTTCCGTGTCCACGTACCTCACATGTATCATGTGCTCGTATTGTCTGTGTGATTTTCAAACCAAAATAATGTTTTCTTAAAATTCTGTAATAGTTATTCTCTCCTATTATAAACACACGGTTGCCCATAAAGTTGGAATAAAATACTTTTTTTAACCTCTTCTCATGGAATGGTTGTAATAATGGGATTTATTCTTGATAGATGACGTGTATATCTTCTCAAAACTTTATTGATATCACAAAATACACACAACACGTACAACAATTAACTTTTGCAAACTGTGTATTCAGACTTAAACTAAATTGGAGGTATTGAACAAATAGATTAAGGGTTTTGTTTTAATTTGTCCACCTTGGTCATATAACAGGAAACACATATTTGAGATGCATTAGAATGTCCACTATTACTCTTTTAAATGCCACTCAGTCACTAATATTGAGTCTGGCCACCCCTGACATGGATCAATGCGTTAAGACATGGTGGCATACTGTCCACAAGCTGGTTGATGGTGTCGATGGGCAGATCCCAAAGTTAGAACATGGGTAACTGGGACTCAGTATCATTGCACCTGGTCAGAAGTGATGTGTATGAACAGAAATAAAAAGAGGAATGTGTCTGAAAACAAAAATTATTCCAACTTTATGGGCAACAGATTCACACAAAACAGGGTTTGGACATAGAAAAAACTCCTGCTCAAGACAGTGAGACAGGCTTGGTAATGTGTCTCAATACCACCAGAAATTACTGTTTGCTCTATTGACCATAAAACCAAGAGAGCATCCTTCACTGGGGCTCAGTCTCACCGTGTGGTGGTCGTCATCGGGCTCCCTCAGCTCGGGGCTCTCCCTGTGGATTCGATGGCGGGAGCTGGGAGGGGAGAGGGAGGAGAGGGAGTGCTCTGGGCTGCTGGCCGACAGAGGATACGGCGAACCAACTGGACTGTCCTCTCTAAGAGGAGAACCTGGAACGCAGGAATGCACAAATTAGAGAAAAACAGTTTCTCGGGTCGTGAGTGGAAGAACGTACACCGTGGGTCGACGACGTTTCGCTGACTTTGTACAAGATGACAGGCAGAAAACAGGAGTGGGAGTGACAAGATGAAGGACGGATGTGGAGATAGCGAGAGGGAGGTGAGAGACAGCAGAGCTAGATGGTGAGGGACAGGGGAATCAAGCAGAGCCGGAGATAAATTAATATGAAGATGAGGGCTATCAATCGTCCAAGGTCATCCAAAGTAGAACACACACACTCATACTTTTCTGCACATCCACACGCTGCTAAACTGCAGAGGGACTAGGTCACGTCTTCTCTTTAGCACACTTTGCGTACGCGGTCCGATGTGATGATAATGACTCCAAGGTTCGAGGTTAAAACACTCTCGAGTCAATAACGCTTGAGTGTAGCGGAGTCGGACTGCACCGATTGAGTGGCGTAAACTGTGTTCCAGTTTATAATCAGTTTAATTAAGGCTGCAGTTAAAACACTTTCCTTAGGGAGGATAATGAAGCTTTGGCCTGGTCGTTCCCTGGCAGATGCTCAAACGTCCACATGAGGGCAGCAACACCACTCCCACCTCTTTGGAGGTGCCGCTCCTGGTCCCTGATAATTTATGTGTTTTCTGAAGCTCCATCAGTCAGTTACTTCAACCGCACTGTTTGTTCAGCATGTTCCATAATTTGCTCGCCACCACTAAATCCACACACTTCCACTCGACGCCCTGGATTCAACTTTGAAAAGAATAAAAAAAAATATCCTGACTGGAGGAAAATAATTGATTTGTCAGGTAAAACAGGAGTGGTTCCATCCGTGCAGTGCGTTTTCCTTCCCCCTCCTCTACTTTCCCCGCAGCACACATCCTGAGTCATTTTGATTGGGGTTGTGACTGGAGGAGCTAATCAAGCAGAAATCTGAAAGTGGCATATCGCCGGAGTCTGCCTCAAAATGATTTTGATGCGCGGATAGATTATCTATCATTTGATCTCACACCCACCTGCCTCCACTGTCTTTCTGAATGAGCGTCTCACCTTTGTGGTCATTCCTCTGTGTGTCCATCCTGTCAAGACTGTCAAGCAGCCCATCGATCTGTGTCTTTATCAGAGTCAGCTCCTTTTTAATCACCTGCAACTCTTCCATCCCCACTGCAGGGACACAGAGCGAGAGAATGTAAGTGACATTAGGAAATTACACAGCCGGGAAATATCTTTGGGGAGAGTTTTAAATGTACTCCAACCATATATATAAAAACCACAGAGCTGATAATGTCGTTTAGAGTTCAGCATTTTGGGAAATCCACTGTCGTGTCTGTAAAGGGAATATGAAGCCACAGCATAAAGAGCAAAAAAACAGGGGAAACAGCTCGTCTTGCTCTGTCCAGACACAATCTGTCTGCACCTCTAAAGCTCACTAATGATCAAGCTGTAGGCTGTAGGAAAAAGCAACAGGACTTCTCTTTTTGTAAGAAACCTCTTGGATGAGACATCTTCAAAAAAAAGACAAACAGCTGCTTTTTACAGGAACACTTAGGATTAATAATTCATTTGTGGGTTTTTTTTGTTTTGTTTAATTGGTGCTAAAGTAAGTGTGAAAATGCTCGGTTGTGGTTTTTACAAGCTGCTATGTGCGTTGCTATTTCTTGACCAGAAGCAGTGACTTCCTGGAGTCTTTTCTTCACAGTGCGACTCCAGGAAATGACCGCCCTTGTGCTGAGCTTAACTGACCATTTCAAGCTCCGGGCGCATACGCAGCATACAGATGTGAATGAAGGAGATGGATACGTGTGGTTTCCAAAATTTTAAATTAGCTTGAGCCATTGCATAAAGGCCATTTGGGGGATTTTAATTAACACATTGTTGTTGTCTGAGATATCATACAATTCATGCTGCATGTGCAGAGATACTTATTTGTTTCTGATTTAACCACCCAGGCCCAGATTTAGGCAATCCTGGCTGGAATACAGATATTTTTTCCTTCTGCGTGGTTTGTTCAGCATCACACACTGCATGGCTGCTCTTTAACAGATACATTCAGTGCATTAAAGTTTAAACGCTTGGAGTTTGAGTAGTCCGTTCACCAGAGGGAACCTGCAGCATCTCATTCTATCTTCCCGTAAGACCTAGAAGATAGTCGTGCTTTTCGGTTTCGAGCAGGTAAGTGCAAGCAAATCTCATCTGCGGCAAATTCCTTTCACTCACACTTGGCTGTGGTTGAGTTAGTGGAGTGGGCTCTGGAGCTTTTGGAGTGGGTTCTGTCTCGGCTGCGTCTGTGCCCGGAGGAGTAGGAGGAGGAGCGGGATCGCTTGGCCAGGCTGGGTCCCAGGGGTAGAGGAGAGAGGGATGCTGGCACACGCTGGTAGTCGTACACCCTGCAGATTAAGAAAACAAATAGACTCATTTTAGCTAACTGTTCCTCCTGCGTTTATTGTTCTCTGTGTGGTTTTGTGCGATCCAAGTGTCTGTCTGAAAATGAGAATGAAAAACAGCCTCTTCACAAAAAAGTTGGAAACAATCTATCCTGACACATATCTGTGAAAATAACCGAGCAGATAGATGGACAGTACAAAAGATGATTTTTTTTTTGTTGAGCTGTCTACAGCTGCTGCTCTAAGTTCAAAGGCTTCAGAGCCGACATTAAAGCCAACAGGTGTGGAAAGTTTCACAATCAAAAGGCTGCTCTAACCTTCACTCGCACAGCAAACGGATTCAGGGCGCAGTGCGACGGTCAAACCGGGAATAACAAAATGTATCTGAACCAGCTCAGAACAGAGAGGTGGTGAGATTAGTAGTGATAGGTTCTGATTTGAATACAATTTTTTGTCAATTTTACTGCTTATTGAAATTAAGGACAAGCTCATTTTTGGCTACATGTATTTTGAGCTCACGTATTACTTGCAAAAGTAAAATTAAGCTAATTATTTGGCAGAAAAATGGGTATCCATTTCTTAAAATATATCTTAACATTCATAACCAACTTTATGTATTAGCACTTGATCACACCCACTTCTAGCTTAAAGAAATGGTAAATGGTCTGCACTTATACAGCGCTTTTCTACCTTTGCGGCACTCAAAGCGGTTTGCAATGTTTCAACTTCGGGTTCAGTGTCTTGCCCAAGGACACTTCGACTGTGGAGGGGGCGGAGATCAAACCGCCAACCTTACGATCAGAGGACAACCTGCTCTACCACCTGAGCCACAGCCGAGATGATACCTACTGGAAAAAGACATTTAACCCTATTTGGGACTTTCTTGTTGCCATATGTAGAAGTCTTTCTGGGTCTATTGGACCCCAAGAAAGAATATATGCAAAATACTTCTTGGTATTCATTATAGACTTTTATACTATGTTAAATAAAATCCTGATAAGTTGATGTATTTTTGGTTCCAAATGCATGACAAATTTAAAAAACATCTTCAAAACTAGCTGCAAGGTAACGCAGTTGGTAGCACTGTTGCCTCGCAGCAAGAAGGTTGCCGGTTCGCGTCCCAGTGGGGGCACCGGGATCTTTCTGTGTGGAGTCTCCATGTTCTCCCCGTGCAGCGTGGGTTCTCTCCGGGTTCTCCGGCTTCCTCCCACAAGGTCCAAAAACATGTTGAGGTTAATTGGTGATTCTAAATTGTCCGTAGGTGTGAATGTGAGTGTGCTTGGTTGTCTGTCTCTAAGCGACCTGTCCAGGTGTCCCCTGCCTTCACCCTGAGTCAGCTGGGATAGGCTCCAGCCCCCCCGCGACCCTAGTGAGGATTAAGCGGTGTATAGATGATGGATGGATGGATCTTCAAAACTAAAAAACAACACCTGTCATCTAAACCAAAAGACCCCAAATGTCCTGAACAGGGTTAAACTAAAACATGAAGAGAAGCAGCTGGTCGAGCATCTTATAGCTACATATGGATGTATACACGTACATTCTGTGTTCCTTTTGTCTTTTATTTTCTATCTATCAAGAGCCAGAGAGTGAAATTGTCTCACTCTGGCTCTTGCCTCCTCCCCGTGGACAGCTCCATGTCTCTATCTGTCACTGAATGTAATTGGTTCTGTCAGGGCCAATCAATAGCTCCCCTCCAGGCTGGTAGTGCTGGTGACAGGGGCTGTATCGCAGTCAAACTCTATAGTGGTTACAGAAACGACACTTGGTGTTTGTGCGTGTGTGTTTCAGCAGAAACAGAAGTGATGCTGTGGTTGGAAAAGAGGCTGACCTCAACACTCACTGACCCACTGACCAGGTGAAACCAACCAGTCATCACTGGGCAAACTAGCAGGAAGCGGGAGGAACAGAGAAAACCAAATCTATGAATGTTTTTTACTTTTTGTGTAGATGATTAACAGATTCAGTGACTCGGTTAGAAAAATTAACTGAAAGAGCAAAAGGTCTGAACGCAAATTCAGAATAATTTTAGACGCGTCACAAATTTGTGCGGTAACAGCGATCCAACTGGATCGAGTCGCACTCTGGATATTTCTGGATCAAGGACAGTCTGAGCAGCACAGCCTAAATGGTGCCTGAAAAGCAGGAGTGTGAAAGCTCCTCTGCTGCATATAACAAGCCAGCAACACGCAGACAAGCTGTCAGCTGCAAGGACTTTGACTTGGACACTAATGTAGATTTAGTGATTGAGCTGTTAACCAGTCCGTCAGACACAGCCTGGCTTCCTGAAAAGTTTTCTGTATTGTTTTCCGTTATAGTCGACGAAGCCTCTACTTGATGCAAAGATTTCCACACAGACTGTGTACTTCCACAACACACACACACACACACGCAGACAAAAAAGCATCACAATGTCACATAAGGATGAAGTGCATTAGGCCACCATAAGTGTGTAAGATTAGAGGCTTTGAGCATTGTCCATGTGGGGAGACATAGAGACCAAAGACTTAGGGGAGTTTAAAGTCTTTTAGAGCAGTTTGCAGGGGCAGATAGACAATGTGTTGTTACACCGGCTTTGAAGTGTCATCTCAGAGAAAGGAGGCTCAGACAATGAGAGACGGTAGACGAGTGAGGATTACAGAAAAGTGTGTGAGTGTGTGTGAGAGAGTGTTTGTCTCTATGGATTAGACCCCACACGGAAAGCAGCTTTGTCAGCTCGAGCTGTTATCTGAATGTTGAAAGACACTTTACTTTCGTGTTTGCACAAGAGGACAGCGGACAAAAACAGTCATTTCTCTCTTTCCCCGCATATCGATGCGCACAAACAACACACACACACACAAACAGAGTCCGCGCTCACTCAAACCCAGAGGCAAGCGCGCACACACACACACACACACACACACACACACACACACACACAGCTGTCAGTAGTGCTAGCCAACAGCATGGGGAATAATCATGCACTGTGTTAAAAACAAATTGAAAATCAGCAGTGAGCGTTCCCCCCTGAGCAAAGGCAGAAAAATGCAGAGCTAGGAAAACCTCATGAAAATATAAAACAAAGAAATGATGACAGTTAATACTCAGAGCAACAGAGCATCGATATGTGCGAGAAAAGCAATAGGAACGGGGTGTATGTATTCTTTGTGTGTGTGCGTAATGTGACTGCCGTCTTTTATTCAGATGTGCTGAGTGGAGTGTTTATGAGCGAGGCCTGGGGGACACAGGAAGGTCCCAGAGCAATTTCAGTGGATGACCAATAATACAGAGCCACCGTGAGCTCAGCTAACTACCTCGTCTACCGTACACCTGCACTTACAGTACAAACGCACACCGCAAGCTACGTAACCGCAGAGCCGAGAGGTCGTGATAAGTCGCAAGCAATAAACTGGATTTCATTGTTTACAAGAGGCCTCATTTAACTCCACATTACGGTTGTTTTCAACTTGTTTAGGCAGCTTCAGGAGCAGCAAGTTCAAAAGAATGAAGTGAAAACAAGTTGAGATCGTTGACATTTTTACAACAGAAACAGTCACGTTTGACAGGGATGTTCAATTTAATTTTAATCTTATTAATTCGCAGATTGAAATAGTAGTTATGTTACTATATCCAGTGTTGTTATTATTATTATTACTGTTATTATTGTTGCTGTTGTTGCTGATTTTGTGTTGGTGTTGTTTTTTCTGCTGTAGCAATTTCCCTGAAGTTTTGTACCGAAGGGATCAATAAAGTTTTATTCTAATTCTAATTCTAGTTTGTTTCGCACGTCCTAAATTCAGCTAAAGGGAAGACACCAGAGCATAAAGTCAGTTTTCAGTTGTCATGCTCCTGAAGCATCTGAAATTTGTGATGAATGAAATAAAAAACTTAAACTTGTGGCAACTTTACAACAGAAACAGTCATTCACACATTAAAAAACAGAACCAGCTATAGTTATTGATGCCTTTTAGTTAGATATGAATCAATTAAATGATTAAATGAAGGTTTTTCTTAGTCCTTTATGAACGTTTTTTTTTTCTTTCTTACCATTTTGTCCCAGCAGTAGTAGCTTCTTATGAATTTCGGTAAAGTTAAAACACCAGAACATGAATTCAGTTCATGGTTTTCAGCACATAGATTTGTAATTGGCAGCTAACTGAACTTAAAAAAGAATAAAAAAAATCAATTTGTGGAGAAGCATTAAAAAGCAGATGTTTCCATAACAGGTGTAACTGGTCACTTAAAGGTTTGATAAGTATGAAAAGAACATCAGTGGCTTTGAAACCCCAAATGATGGATTTTCTTTGGACAAATGTTGTCCGTTGGTCCGGTAGAGCTTTGAAACTTCAAAATCCAAGTCAGGCAGAGGTGAAGCTGTTGTAGGTGTTCTACTTGTGGTTAACATGTTAACACATCAGTACATTAGGGTCACTTTGTGCTGTATGATGCAAGAAAGGCTCAATCTATTGCATTGGAGATTCAAGTCTTCTCAAATGCGTACCCCTAAATGGGACGACACATTGCAAATCCACTGTTTGGATGCACTTAAGTGTGCTGTGTTCTGTATTTGTGAGTATGTCTGCAGGTGTGCGACTACTGAGCCCCTTGCTGTTGAGCAACAACAGACAGCATGACTGACAGCTGTGCGGCAGACAGCGACGGGGAGCGGAGGCTGCTGGAGACAGTCAGGATGAAGAATCCGCTTTAGCTCCTTCCTTTAGCCTCGTGTGGCAGGCAGACAAGCAACAATGTGTGTGAGCCGCCATGCATAGCCTTCTGACAGTACCTGTCATAGTAGTCCTCGTGATAGCTGTCATAGTCCAGGTCGAAGTCAGATCTGCAGGAGAGGTGGAGACAGAGTCAGAGGCGGAGGAGGAGGAAGGTGGCTGGTGGGGTATTTGTCAAAACTACATGATGCGCTTTTACCGGAGCTATCACATATTTCACTTTAAAAAAAAAACCCTGCACGCTCGGTTGGTGCGCCACTGTGTAAATGTGTGTGAGTCTCAGCAGAGTTTATGTGCTACAACTGCTTCATCTGGAAAGAATACAGTGTTCATGATCTCCAGTCAGCTAGAAAAAAACATTGGATTTGTTCTGCTGCAGCATCCAGGGTGGAAAATCCATAGAAATTGGATCGTGCACCAACTGTACCACCCACCGAACACCTCGATGTGTGAGCCTGGTGAGGTAAGCTGTGAGGCATGTGTGTGTGTGTGTGTGTGTGTGTGTGTGAGGCAGATGAGTTATGTGACAGCACTGAACTTATATGGGCTGGTAGCTGGTGTGTACCTGCAGAGCAGACCAGAGGAAGTGGAGGAGAGCAAAGTGACTCTAAGCCAGAGCCAGATCACATTCTGGTGTGTCAGACCTCAGCATTCCTCCCTAATCCCTGCATAGAGTAGCTAATAATCCCTCCATGTTGCTCACCCTCCCTCTGTCTCTTTTGTCTCTCCGGCTGACTCACTCTTCTCTATCCGTCTTTGTCATTCTATCATTTATGCCATTTTTTTTTTCTCTTCAATTCGCTCCATCAGTACGCAATGTTTTAAAAGCTGAAATAAGTGATTTTTTTTTGGACGATTTGTATTTACATTAACACGGAATTAATATCCGTCAGCTGGCTTGGAAACAAATATTAAAACCATCTACCTAATACTCATGATGTCAAAATGACAGCTCACTGAGGCCTGGACTCCACAGACCTCTGAAGGCGTCCTGTGGTATCAGGCACAAAAACATCACCAGCAGATCCTTTAAGAACCAGAAGTCGTGAAGTGGGGCCTCCATGGATTCAACTTTCCAGCACATCCCACACATGATAGATTTGGCATTTGGCGGCCATGTCAACACCTTGAACTCTTTGTCACACCCTCCAAACCATTCCTAAAGAACATTTGCAGTGCATCCGGTAATGGTTTTGCTATGACAGAGATGTTCAGATAGGTGGTACATCTCTAAGAAAGACCCATATGAAGGCCAGGGGAGGGATGCAAACACATTTCTTTCCTGAATATTCTGTAGCCTGATCAGTCAGTAACTGATGAATCAGTAACATGAAATGAACTCGATGGACTTAATTCCATGTCATGATGCAGCTGCTCTGAATGCGGTCACGCAGCATGAGCCACTCCAGTGGTCTGTATCATGTGACCTGTTGCTCCATCAGCATAGATTATCAGTCAGTCGGCCACAACAGTGATGAAGGCTTATTGCACTTCAGCTCGCCTACAGAAGTGGAGCTCTGGCCACTTGGCATTAAGCACCACAAATGACTTTCTCGTGGTGCCACTTTAGGGGATAAACCTGACGTAATGCTCTCTGTTTGCCAACACAGAGGTGCCGGCAGTCTGAGTGAGCGTATCCTCAGGTCACTGCAGTGTTAAACAGTAGGAACCTGGTTTCATATGCAAAAGCCAGGTGTTGTAGCTGATGTTCAACACATTTTCTGGCATGCACGCCCTTATCGATTAATAGACGAGGTGTGTCAGAAAAGTTCCAGGACTGGTGTCACAAAAGATATATTTCAAATCCAAACTACAAGTTCTCCCCTTCAAAGTAACGCTTCACCCCAGACTTCTCTACCACGCCGCCATGCACTCCTGGAAGGATTCTTCAGCTCTGTCGTCACAGCCATCTTGATCTCATCCACGTCTTCTAAACGGGTCCCCTTGATGACCCCCTTGAGCTTGGGGAAGAGGAAATAATCCCACGGAGCCTGGTGGGGTGAGTAGGGAGGTTGCTCCAGCACGGAGATGTTCTTCTCAGCCAGGAACTGTGGGATGCTCAGGACGTTGTTGTCATGGTGAAGAGGCCACGACTCGTCCTGCCACAGCTCTCGCCTCTTCTGAACGAAGCAAACGCCGCAGGATCTCTTTGTAGACGTGCTGGTTGATTGTCTTGAAAACTGGTAGTTTGTAGTTTGGGTTTGAAATATATCTTTTGTGACATCAGTCCTGGAACTTTTCTGACACACCTCATATATATATAGTTATGTATAACTGGTTAACAATGAATCATTACCATCGGGCAGGACACCCAGCTGAATTTATTCCAGAGCTACACCAAGAACACCTCACAAGGCCTGCTGTTTTAGAGACGCTCCCACCCAGTCGTCTAATAGCCACGACCTGCTCCAAACCCGCTCAGATCCTCACACTTGACCATTTTTCCTGCTTCCAACACTTCAGCTAAAGGTTGCTGCTCACTTGCTGCCTAATATATTCCACTCACTGACAGCCGCCACTGTAATGAGATAATCAATGGCATTCACTTCAGCTGTCGGTGGTTTTAATGTTGTGGCTGCGCAGTGGATATAAATATTTGGCTCCTTAGCTGCTGAATGCTCCATTACACAGCGAGTACAGTGTACAGTGGGTTTATCACAGCAGCCTGCCGCAGTCAAAAAAAAAACTACACTGACGAGAGCAGAGAGAATCAAAACCAGAACAGGGACGATGCAGGACAGGAGACGGGAATCTGCAAAGCTGAAGGGAACTGCAGGCGAATTATGTTTCTCTGTTGGTTTGTCACCAGAGGGGCCGTACAGTAGTAATGCAATATTAAAAAAAAATGTTTATTGGCCTCTAAAATAGGCACATTTTTAGATTGACTGAGCTTTTTGTACATCAGGATAAACATCAGGGGATTGAAATGAACACTTCTACACAGTAGTCAGCGTTACACACATAATACAAATAAACACAGACAAACAAACCTCACAGCCTCTATGTGTGTGTGGATGTGAAGTGCAGACTTATTCTGGAGTGGACCGTAATCACATCTCCTCCAGCGCTACTCGCACGGACTCCTCTTTGTCTCACACCAGCTGGTTTTCAGAGCTCAGGAGACAGGAAGCCTCAAAATAATTTATAACAAGTGCTCATGTCTCAGCTGCACACTTGCCAAAAAATGCAAAGTCTAATTTCAATCCAATTTAAAGACTGCCTTCTGTTATTTGAAACGGAGAGGGTCGACGTGTTGTTTTAGCTCGTTTTGTCCGACCGGTCCAAGCATCTTTCTTTATTTGAGGACACAAAATTAAGAGGCATTTCTAAGGGAATTTGCCTTTTTTTTCACATGCATAAAAAGTAAAAGACACACTGAGAGGAGGAAGGACAGAGAAGGACAAAGAGGAGCAGTAACCCCACAGCTTCTTAGCCGAGCTGAGCCTTTTTTGTTTTTGTTCACAAGTGAATTCAGCTAGAAGAGAGATGGAAAATAACAGCTATTCACCAGAAATCCTCACTGAGGGGGAACTAAGCTGCTGTTCACTTTCTGTTCGCCTTCGCCGGTTTACCTTTGGCTGGTGGTGTCTGCAGGTTCTCTGACATTTGTTTAATCACTTCTTTTTGTAAAAACTTACAGCAGCAATCTTTTTATTCTTAATTATTTCAGGGCTTTAACTCCACGCTTTCCACTACACCTCTTGAGTTTATTTTGATTAACAGACGCTATAATAATAAGTGAGTATTTTTCTTTTTATGAACACGTAATCATCACTTAAATGCGATTAATTATGAATAAAGTGCTGCTGCTGCTCGATGTAACAGTTTTCACATTTGAACAATAGGTCATTTACATTAGTTAGCTGTTATTTAACCTGCAAATGTTGAATAATAAATGTTTGGTTATTCGTTCCGTAATGACGGCCGGGTCGTTAAAATGTCACGGCGGCACGGCGTCGATACGACATGGGTATTTTCGTGTGATTTAGTGAAGATAAATCTGCGACAGGTAAGCACAGCCCATTTAGTCTGTAATTATATCCAAAGTGAGCAGCCAAGCACCTCAGCCAGGAGAGAGAGAAGCAGATGGACAGCAGGGTCACTAAAGGCTAATTAATTTCTTTTCATAATTTCTCAAGTGCCAAAGCAATCCATTAGACATGGCTGGCTATAAATCATCTCAGCCTCAGCGTGCCTGCGTGTGTGTGTGTG